GCTCCTGAGTTGCCCTACTAGTACTATATTATTTAATGCTCTCCAATATGTTGATTTATCAATAATGGTATTCTTAGCAGCAATGTTCAGTTGTGGGTTCCCTCAGACTTGTTCTTTTTCTTTTGGTTATCTCCTCAAAGTGGTCAATAATGTGCTGATAGTGAACACTCAAAAGTGAGTTCCTATCTTCTCTTTTGCTTAATTTGCATGTTATCATTTTTCTTTCCATTCCTAACAGTTGGCCCCACAAACCTCTGAGCTTTCCTAATGATTTTCCTCTTCTCTTCAGGGGTTTATGGCTGCTTGATCAAGGTTCGACCCCAGTCTAAGGAGCTGCTCCAGGCCCTCAGCGTGGCTGACACCTCAGTCTATGGGTGGGCCACAATCATCAGTGAACGAAGCAAGAACGGAATGCAAAGAATCCTCATTCCTTTCATCCCAGCCTTTTACATCAATCAGTCAGAAGTGGTTCTTAGCCACAAACAAGACATTGGGGAGATAAGAGTACTGGGAGTGGATAGAGTTCTTGAGAAGCTAGAGGTACATTAAGGACTGAACCAAAACACTAGAGATTAGGGATTTGAAAAGAGAGATTTTTCATTCTCAGTCCAATGGTAAAAGAACAGTTACTGAGTGAACCGATAAAGATCACTACAGGAAATTCTTAAACTGAATGAAGAAAAGCTGTCTACTTCACCATGCCAGAGAGGCTCCCAACAGTCCAAAATCTAGGTCATTAGCTTTGTCTGGAAGACTGAAGAACATTCTTTAAAATTCTTGTATAGTATATCTTGAAGCCACTTTCATTCTTGCAGCACATGCTCTTCCCTTATCCTTCAACACATCTAAGGGGGTTAACAGTGAATGACATTAGTGTCAGACAACTAGCTGGAATCAGAAACCCAGGTCTCCTGACAATTCTTGAAATTTTTTTTTTAAGATTGGAACATATTGCTACATTTTATTCCTTCTAACAACTGCCATTTTATCTCTTTTCCAAGGTCTTCCCCAGTTCCCCAGTTCTAGTGGTGTCTAGCCATAGGCACTCTTCCCTCATGCCTGGCCTGGCCATCTACCCAGTAAGAGTGGTCAACTTCAGTTCCCTCCAGCAGATGGCATCACCTGTTTTCATCAACATTTCCTGTGTGCTCACCAGTCAAAGTGAGGCTGTGCTGGTGAGAGCTAAGAAGGAAAAGTCTGGCACAGGTGAGCACTGAGGACTATGTTTAATCTAAATGGCAAAAAAAAAAAAAAAAAGGTGTATTATTCACAATTTAGTTAATAGGATATGTTCAGCCACTTGACCAAGATTATTCGACCTAGTTGGGGCATGAATTTTCCAAACCTTTCCAAAATAGAACCTTCAGGTAGCTTTGTTTGCACTAGATAAGTGATGTATTTAAGAATAGTTTTATCAGTTTGACATGAGTTTGTGATCTCTAAGTATACTGAAAGCATTTGGTAAACGTTTTGTTTTCTTCAGAAGTCTTCAATGGAGATCTTTTTGCATCAGGCAACAGATAAATGTTGATAACCTTAGAACAAAGGCTTAGCTTCCAAAATTCAGATTCCAGGCATAACCAGTTTGAAAATGATGCCAAGTCTGGGTGGCATAGGAACACAAATATGGAAAGTTATTACAAACGCAAGAGAACCATCCTCCTTATATTGTATTTAGTGATTTCCACTTCCCCACCAGGTTTCTTGATTACTGGAAGTAAATCACGTTGAATTCTAGTACATATAATGGAAGGTTTGTTTTTGTGAGCAATGCACTGGTCAATATCCTAACCACAATTTACTAATTTTAATCCTCACAGGTAGATGTTTTTCTTATTTTCAATTAACCTCTAACTGAAAGTTAGCATTTCTGATTATGTAGGCAACATAACACAGTATTCACAGCTTGGTCTAACTTTGTCACCAACAGAAACCAGGTATTGTCAGATTTCAAAAATATTTCTCATTACATCAAAATTACAATAATCAAGACTTGCTGTTAGATCTTGTTTTTTAATAAGCATCATACTTACTATTATCACTAATTAGGCTTTTTAATAGTTTGACAACTACTTCAACTGTCACACATCAGATGTTTTATGTATTAGTCAACTGTACTTTGATATACCTGGTATCATTTGTATTCCTACATATTTTTAGTGTACTTAAATTTTTTTCCTGAGACAGGAACCATAGGCTTTACCAGACTGTCAAAGTTGCCTGAAAAAAAGAAAAAAAAACACTTCTTGGGAACTAGAAGGGGGTGAGAATTTCTAACATTAGCTATACTCAACCCCAACCTTCAGCTCATTCACAAGCAGTGAATACCTATTGATATGTGCCACTTAAAATTGGGCCCCTGCTTTTAAATTCCTTGAAGTTGGTTCCCTGCAGCCAGTACAGGAGATGCCAAGTTAGTAAGCCTTCTCAATTTTATTTGGACTCTGATTATACAAGCATTAGAAAGCCAAAAGCATTAAATAGTGGGACCTGATCAGGAATTAGTGTACAAAACTTTGTCTTAGTGTATATACTTCAAGCAACCTCAAATCATTCTTCACAGTGAAACATTTTGCAAAGTTAAAAATGAGAAAGACTAGAGAGAGAAGTAAGCTGAATTTAGAGGTAGAGGGCCTATACTAAAGATGCTAAACAGGAACTAGGTGTGAGGACCTGGGGACCAACTTATATAGAAGGCCTGGAATGTGGGGGATATGCAAGAAAACACGAGTACATATCTAGACGCTCATGAAGGCTGAAATAACCAAATGTAGATGCCAAGCATGAGTCAAAAAAAAAAAAAATTTAAAAAAAAAAAAAAACATTATTGAAGTTAAATACAAATCAAAAAGCTCTCTAAAAATAAGGAGCTCTGGTAGCATAGTGCCTAAACACTTGACTGCTAACCAGAAGGCTGGCGGTTCAAACCCACCAGCCACTCCTCGGAAGGAAGATGGGGCAATCTACTTCCATAGTGATACTTGCCTTGGAAACCCAAGGAGGGGTTGCTATGGGTCGGGTCCGACTCAACGGCACATTAACAACTACTCTAGAAATAACACACTGAGTTAGCTACCTCATGTGTTAAGAGCAGAATCACTCCACAGGGTTTTCTCGGTTGTAATCTTTACAGTCTATAGCACAGCCAGGTGAGTTCGAACCACCAAGGTTAGAAGGGCAAACCACCTATGGACTTTTTCTGAAAGTAACAGCCTGAATAAAAAGGAAAAAAGGCACTGGACTTAAGGAAAGAAAACAAGCATTTCAAAGTAGCAGAGGATTTAAGCAATCAGAAGGTTAAGAATTGGATTTTATTATTTTTAGAGGAACAATGAGGAATAGTTTAGAAGCCTACATTTCTCTTATAGGATACAAAACAATTTCCTAAGAGGGCTAGGTTTTGAGTGCTTCCACTGGTAACTTTTATACTGTTTTGTTCTGGCCAATGCACAGGTCAGTGTGAACATTCAGGTGTCCTCCAGCAGCTTATTGGTTCTTACCAGATCATCTTCTTTACCCTCTTTGCGGTGTTAGCATCAACAGCTTTCATCTTTCTGGGTAAGGAATCCTTATATTCAGCACCATGGACTTTGGCTCAGAAACTACCTCCATTGTATTTCACAAACTAAGTAAGGATGAAAATTATCTCTTTACCATTATCTATTTTGCCACCTGTAGTTGAAACTGTGTTAGCTTCCCTACTCTTAGTCACCTGGTAGATAAGGTCTTATCAACTACTACCAAGGAGCAGTAAATTGATATGCAGACTATGAAGCATCACTCAGAGAAAGGAAAACCACTAAGACTTTGATGATAGTGGACAGTTTCATTCAAATTTATACCAAGAGATGATTCAAGGTAACAATACAGCATCACAATTGTCCAAACTTGTTTCTCCCCATCTACCAACCAGAAGTTGAAATACCTCCAAAATCATTGGGTTTAATAAAAGAAAAATTTATTCTAACAGTGTATTACATAAAATTATTTAACCTGAAGCACTATTATAATAGTACTATTTTAAATGACTTAAACAGCTTCGACTTACATACAAGCTACTTAAATTCTGTATTTCGCTCATGAGAATTAGAACCCAAGTCTCTTCCTCCTCTCCTACAACCAAAATCAAGACATGACCTTTTTAGTGACATCTCCCTTTTTTCCAGCATACAATGCCTTCCTAAACAAGATACAGACAGTTCCAGTTGTTTATGTACCAACCCTAGGAACATCACAGCAAGGTAAAGAACTGCTGAAAAGAACTTTGAAAAGCTCATTTGCATTTTATTTACCAGAGCCTTCATCATGTCCCTTTCTCCATTTATTTCTAGGTTCTTATAGCTCTATACGTTCTCCTCCTCCCTTCCTGAGTCCACAACCCCCACTGGGCCAGAATCGGCTGCAACATTGGTTATGGAGTATAAGACACTAATCTACCATCAGATGAGTCACCTAACTGAAGCAGAATGGAGATTTCTAGCCTTACACAAGAAACCCAGCAGCAGCCTCTACTCAAAAGCTTCCAAACAAGCCTTTGGCTAACTGTTAATAAAAGACTGTAAAGTGGTGTGGACCATGTTTTAAAGATCACCTATCAGTTCTTAATTCTAGAAAAACAATAACGAAAGTAAAAATCTCATTTATATAGTTCCTAGTTTAGTATACAGAGTGAAAACTGCGAGAGCTAGAACTTGATGTGACTGCCACATTTTCCAGGTCTCACAAATTTCCCACCTTTGACAGTAGAGCCACTTCTCTATCACTCGTTTTAAGGGAAAATATTTGAGTTTTCCTTCTGACAGGTTTCCACTTTTCACAGGTTTTACTGTAGTATCCCAGTGTGGTATCTTATCAAGCTCTAAGGACTTACCCAATGAATCCAGGTAGACAGAAATGCCAAAATGGACTTTTAAATACTTGGCCACTTGCCCCAAATAACTCAAGTGTTCCACTCTTCTGGTTGCCCCTGAATACTTGAGGCAGTAAAACAAGACAATAAACAGGATGTATCCAAAATGTGTTTATTGGGATGATTTCCCACTCATCTTGATTCAGGGTATTTTTAGTGCTGCTTCCGTCTGAAGGAGCATCCTAGAGGGAAAAGGTTCAGAGGTTAACTGACATCAGCCTACCTACCCTGTCTACCCTACCCTGTCTGCCCCACAAATAAGCAAATGTCCCTGTAATGGAATAGTCACAGAAAAACTATATCTTTTTCTCAATTCCTTCACCTACTACAGTCATTTAAGGACTCTCATATGAAGCTCCTTTTATCACCAATCTAGCTCAGTTTTAGAGGGTAATGCTTTGAGATTAAGAAATATATAGGGTTTCTGGGAATATTAATTTTGGGGAGGGCCAAAAAAAACTATCAAATCCAATCCTCTTTACAAGACAATCTAAGAATTTATAATGTACATTGCCCCTCTCACTCTCTCACTATATACAAGATTCAAAGCCCAACATTAATTAGTTAAACCATTTACCTTCTGTAAGCCTTGCTTTTCCTCCTGTAGGCTGGCAGAGGACAGTGGAACAGCCAACACACAAAACTACTGTTTGTGCATGGCTAAAGACCGTGGTGATTTTATAGCATCCTGGGAAGAAAAAAAGGACTTAACAAAATTTCTCCAATATTATCCCCACACCTTTTTCACCTGAAATATGCTTTCATGAATTAGCTGTTAAGATACACGTTATTGGGTAAACTCGAAATTTATTTTCCTATTCTAAACTTGTGATTACCTGGCTCTAAGGATGCACTAAAGCCATCACAGAAGCAATCTGGACTACCTGACCCAGCCAATGGATTTGCTGTTAACCATCCTAGAGCCTGAAAGGGTAGAGAAGCAGAACCAACACTTATTTAAAGGTCAAAAAATAAGAGAATCCTCTGGGGGAGTGTCAGTAATGGGTACTTCCACCCCCTTGCTCCAGGTACAGGTACAGAAATCACAAGAACCCAACTCATCCTCTTAACATGTTTCCCAAAGCAAAGGTATCTAAGGTATGCATATGCAATTTTTATGGGAAATCAGTCTGGAACAAATAAAGCCCCCCTAAAATGCAACATGTACTATTCTTTTAAGAAAAGCAAGGACAATATTATGTCCCTTTCACAGACTAAGAAACTGAAACTGCTAAAGCGCTTCAAGGAAAAGGCAAGCTTTTCCCAGTCGTTGAGGTCCAGTCCTTTACCCACTTCTGTAATGATAGCCCCTCACCTGGGCATTTCACATCCATGAAATAGGAATTAGGGCTTTGCACCAGGCGCTTCTTCTTGTGTTTCCTCTTCTCCTCTTCTGGAGAGGGGTGAAGGAGATCCTTTGCGAGCTAAGATGGATATAAATGCAAAGATTTAGAAACCAACGGTGAAAATGGGATGACCGAAAACCGTCCCCACTGCCACACACCGGGGAGAGCTCGCCCTTTGCCGCCCCTGATGTCTGCGCAGCTGGGCCGCCATCTTATGTCCTGTCCGCTCCCGTTTATGCAGGTGGCCCTATGGGCCTCTGCGGTCCCCGTAGTTAACGTCCTAAGATGTGCGGAGGGCAACTGTGGACCCTCTGCTTTCCGAAATCAGCGTGAGGGGAGCGTAGGGGCAGAAGAGCGAGATCTCCGCCGAAACCTGGACCAAGGAACTCACAGGCATGTTCGCGTGGGGAGGTCGTCCCGCCGGAAAGGAGCGAAAGTGGAAATCCTGCTCCTTATAGCCGGCATCCTGCAGGAAGTGACGTTTACCTCTTGTACCGCCATGTTGTGAAGGTCTTTCTCCCTGGGTCGGTCTGTAGTGGAGCGAGAAGGAGGCTGCCATTTTAGGAAGGTCGCTAAATGAGAGTTTTGACACAGATCTGTAGCCATATTGAGAGTGTTTGCTCTCTATCTTGAAGTCGGCATTGTTTGATCTCCGCTGTCAAGGAATAAATTGACACTTTTTTTATTTAAATTTTTATAGTAAATGTGTTTGTCTACAAAGCACACTGTAAGTAAACCGGAAAAACAAACCTATTACCATGGAGTAAATTGATACTTTTTAAATTTTGTGCTACACCTTGACAGTCAAAGCTTAATAAATAGGAACTGCTGAGGAAAACACCAGCGAGTCAAGTTCTATCTAGAACTTAAATGTCTACTTTTTTTTCCCATTGATTTATCTATTTTAACTATTCAGAAACGTTGTTGTTGTTGTTAGGTGCCATCGAGTGGTTTCAGACTCATAGCGACCCCATGCACAGCAGAATGAAACACTGCCGGTTCCTGTGCCAGCTTCATGATCCCTGCTATACTTGAGCCCATCATCGCAGCCACCGTGTCAATCCATCTCCTTAAAGGCCTTCCACTCTTTCCTCAACCCTCCACCCTACCGAGCATGACATCTTTCTCCAAGGAATGGTCCCTTCTGACAACATGACCAAAATAAGTGAGATGACATCTGGCCATTCTTGCTTCCAAGGAGCATTTCTGGT